AACTCTAAGTTTTTTTATTTTGTCAGATACTAAATTTAAACTTGATAATGATTATTTTATTATATTCTAATAAAATAATTCTATTTGTGAAAGTAAATGAAGTGTCAACCCTATTGCCAAAATAAACAAAATGTATTCTTGAAATACAATATCACAAATTTTAAGAATTGAAGTATATTTAAATAATGCGAGACATGAGAAGTATTGAGCATTAGTATTTTTTTCTGAGTATTTATCTAACTTTGATTTTTTTCAATCAAATTATTAAGAGCATGAACAATGACAAGGCGAAAATAGAATGCCACACGGTGACATGGAACATTTTAGCCAATCAAAAATAGTCCAGTCAGCGTGTGGGAAGTGCATAGAGTGGCAAGTTTTACAATGTCAAGTCATTATTTTTTATCATTTTTTTTATATTTTTTTAATGTTTTTTTAAACATAAAAAAATATTTTTATTATTTATTTTATTAAAAAACTATTCTACTTTCTTGTACATTTTTTTCATAAAAAATTTTAAAAAAATTTATTTAAAAAAAATAAAAAGGAAGGATGGAGTGCCACACTCCTATCTCACCAAGTAATGCATTTTGGCCTTACCATGCCATGATAAGAGTGGAAAAAGCTGATATGACAGTGCAGCAAGGGGATATTGGCCTTACTTGCCATTGCATACGGAGTATATTCTAAGGGGGTATTTCATTCAGTAAAACTGTACCTAACCAAAATTTTGGTGAAATTATGTTTGTATGGAATATCTAACTGTAATAAATCGATTGGGTGTGGTTTATACCAAAATTTTGGTTTGTGCAGGATTAGGTCCGTTTACCGAATTGTGCCCTACGAGGGAGTACTAATTTTCCATCAAACCTGAACTGCCTTTTGTTTCGCATAGATGGGTCGCAGGGGCTTCTCCGGTGGCAGAGGAGGAGGAGGAGGAGGAGGTTAGGAACATGAGAAAATTTTCATTTAAACAAAGGGTTTTCATCCCTAATTGTGCTAGAATTAATTGTCCTTTTGATTTTATGTTTTTTTTTTTGGGTACAAATATTTTGTGTTGTTCAATCCTCTCCATTTTTTCTTTAAAACGCAGGATCCCGTCCTGCCTGCCGTTCAAAGGCATCTCGTGATGCAGAAGGTAATTGAAATCCCTTTTTTGTGGTTTCTTTAATTATTAGTGTTATATACTGAGTATTATTTTTATTATTATACTACTCTATCATAGGAAGATGTGAAATGCTGTCAAAGGAGATACAAAAGATGTTTGGATTCAAATACAACAAATTTAAATACTGTCAATGAAATACTCTTAAGCCATGTTCCCCAACAGAAAGACAAAAGAGCTCTTGGCAAGTAAAGCTTCCTACTTGACCCATTGAACATTTGTGAAGATCAAAAGAAAGAAAGAAACAGATAGAAATCAGTTGTTAGAGTGACCAAACGTGATTATCTTTT